AAATACATGTATACAAATGAGAAACTGCCCCACAGTGTCCTGTGTATGATAATCAGCTCACAGCTTCCGGTTTTCTGCATTTTTATGCTGTTTCTAGCTACGAAAAATGCAGGATTCCACTACATAATGTGAAAAAGGTTGTGCTCTTTAAATGGCTAGTTGTGAAATCTCTGCTATGTGTTCATGGAAATGACCAAGAGTAAGTGTATATACGGTATGTAAGGCTATGCTGTTAAATGTTGCTTAAGTAACTTAGATTGTGTAGTCTAAAATATTTCACTTGTTACTGTAAAATGTGATTTGTCATTGAGAGATTATTTTTCTGTATGTATATGAGAGTATTTTAGGAATCTAATTTAAGTACATAAAATTATAGAAAAAAAATTTAAACCTATTCCAGGAGTAGAAAAAGCTTAATCAGATGAACTGGTTTCAACCTGCCTAAATTTCTTATATTAAAAAAAAAAAATTCAGGTTGTAGATGCTTAGAGTTTCAAAGGAGTTAGGTTTGCATCCTGCAGAGAACATGATGAGTTTCATATTCAGGAAATGGGGGGTGATGTGTTAAAATGAAAAGTATCCTGTAGCCATGACCTTAGATAAGACCTCTGCCTTGCATTAAAAATTGATTTATACAGATAGCATGTTCTGGAGGGTGGTGTGTTCAGGAAGACAGGAGGCCTGGGAGTCTGCTTTCTGTCGGGCCCATGTGCCACAAAAGCTTCCTTGGACTCCAGCGGATTAGTCAGGAATCTGGGGTGACCCAGCTGTCCCACCAGAGCTCAGGAGCCTTCAGGGAGGCCTCACCCTGGCTGGCAGCTCACCCTTTCCACTCTTGGCAGGCTGAGCACCTCGCCCTCCCCTTTAGCATTTGAATTTTCCCTGAGACATTCGAGTATGCTTCGCCCGGTCTAACCATTGCACAGCCCGGTGGGAGGGGACGTTTGGGATTTCGGGGCTAAGGCAAAACCGCGGGAACAGAGCAGCTTCCTGAATGCCCGAGCCTGGGTCTCTGATGGAGACCCCAGCAGCAGGAACTTTCCATCCCCCCCCCCATATCTTTTCCAGGAAAGTATCAGCCGTCTAGGCTGCTTCTGCGGCACAGGCCTTCTCTGCTTGGCCACCAGAAAGGTCCCTGCAGGTGACCCAGGAAGTTGTATGAAGCTCTGTGTCTTAACTCCAGAAAGATGCATTCAGATGTGGTTGCAGGAGGTGGGGACCTGAGTCCCCTCTTCCCCACCTAGCAAGCCAGAAATGCTGTGATGAGAAGGCATGGTGATTCAGGACCATTGGATACTGATCACTGTTTGTGGAGAGTTGAGGACTAGTGGTTTGCAAGGGCATACAGAATACGAGCATTAGGTTTTCAGCGTTTCCTCTTAATGCATCTCATGCTGCCAATGAACAGATTTTTTTTTTTTTTTTTTCCCAGAACAGGGTCTCCCTATGCAGTTCAGGCTGGCCTTGAACTCACTATGTAGCCCAGGTTGGCCTCAAACTCGCAGTGATCCTCCTGCCTCAGCCTCCCAAGTGCTGGGATTATAGGTGTGCGCCACCATGTCTTTTTCATAGGCCCAACACTGGTGAGTGCTGGAGTCCAAGTGTGATTCAGGAGGCTTCTTGGACTATGCTGAGGTGTATGAATAATCTACAATTCACCCCGGAGAACTGTCCACAGCGTGTGTAGCTGCCTGTATTCCCAAAGATGGAGCCATTTAGAGATCTCTTTGTTCAAGGATAGCCTGGGAAGGCCATTTCAGGCCAGTGAACAGAACTAGGCAAGCTTTGATCCCCTCTCCGATAGGCCCTGATGCTTCTGCCCCCAGGATGATGGCCTCCTGTTGGGTTGTCTGTAGGGCTTATGGGGGTGATGAATGAGCCTGGGCCCCCCTTGTTCTAAGTCTGTGGGCAAAAGCACAATGCAGGGCCATGCCCAGCAGAATCCCCTTAGCCTTTGCTTGTTTGCGAAAGAATGTAATCAACTGCTGCACGAAGATCTTGGATTTCCGGTGGCGAGCGGGCCAGAGTGCTGGTGGCAGGTTGCTCCCCTCACAGTGCTCCCAGGGGTGGGACCAGGCCACTCCTGATGGATGTCCTGTTGATTGTAATATACTTTTGTTGCCAAATAATGGTACTATTTAATTTTCCATAAAAGGGAAATTATATTGTCTGCTATGTAATGTTAATGGAGTTCTAAAAATAACTAGACTTTATTATGAATTGTAGAATTATGTATTCGTCTAAGGTTTGATGAAGCAGGGCCAAGAATATTAGGTTTCTTTTTTTGTTTAAAAGAAGCTGAGGTTGTTACGCTGTTTGAGCGTCCCTTTGGCACCTTATTATGTGTGAAATGTTCAGTTTCATCTCTCAGATTATGGTAACTTTTTTTTCTTTTTTTTTTTTAAACCAGTAGCAACACCAGTAAAAATGGCTATTCCTGTGCATTTTGAACCTGAAAAGAACAATCTCTTCAAAACGATTCCTTGGTCATTTTGACCTGTATGGTTTAAATTCACATAGTTCATGAATAAAATGAGAAAAGGCAACCCTGCTACCGTGGATTATTTTGGTTCCTTTCTGCCCTGCCTCCTTGCTGGGCATACAGGAAGTGAATAGCCCCACAAATGCTGTCTCCGTATTTCCTTTTCCCACAGGCAAGGCTGAAGTTGTGCAAGGAAAACAATACGAAAATAAACCTAGAAAGCAAAACAAACCAACAACCCTTTCCACTCTCCTACGCCTTCTTCAGCTGAATGTTAGCACAAGTGGAAATACACTGCCTGCGCCAAGTGTTTAATCTGAGCATAGAGGAGCTCTATGTTGTGTAGCATGAGAAATGTGAACAGCTAGGGGGAGACAGAAGGCTAAGACTGCCTTCCAAAGACCTTCAGAAGAATCACCCTCGATTTCCACAAAGCTTCTAGCACAAACGCCTCTACAGTCTCCAACTTCTTTTACCTTTGGTTGCCATTGGCAAACCCAACGTTGAGTTTAACTTTTACCACACTATCTTTTGTTCTGGCTTCAAGGCAATCCTATTTCACCACCGATTTAACTGGTAAATAAGTCTTGTAAGTTTTGCAGGCAGCTTGGACATGAGTTGAACTGTGACAGCACATTTTTAAAACATTGACTCACAAAGAGACCTTTACTAAGTGTGCTCATTTTTGACAAACATAGAAAGCGTATGCCTCCTGCTTCTTATCTGAAATTTTAAAACTACTTTAGGGCTAGGAGAGCAGATCAGAGGGCCGGTGGTAGAGCGCTTGGCCAGCATATGCAAGGCCCTGGCTTCAATCCCCTGCACTGTAAACAAACGTTTGTGATGCACTTCCCACCTGCAGTTTTTCTGCATGTGCATGCCTGGGTGTCTGACACTCACGACTAATAGCTAACGTGCAGTAAGCACACCGCACGCACAACGCACTATTCAACCACGTAATTTATACATTATCTCCCACTTTGTTTGACTGCCTTCTTAAAAATCAGTTTAACATAGTATTCCACAACTTTTATGCTCTGGATAGAATCGCATCATCTGACATCCTCATTTGTTTCAATAATCCCCAATAGCTACATGTTTTGTTCCTAAAATTCTCACGGTAAGAAATGCTTGTAGGCAGGGGTCTGGGGTCATCTCTGATGATCTCATTACGTGGTATTTGAAGCATTTCACCACTTCCTGTTTTATTTGTGTAAACAGAAAGGTGACAGGAGTTTCCCCAAAGGTGGCTGGTGGATCAGCCGTCCCACGTCTCTAGGAGTCCTGTGGCTTTGGCAATGGGAAGCCAGCCGGCAGGAAGATGGACCCAGGAGAAGCCGGAGCGCGAAGTTAAACTCACCTGCAGTCAGCGGGCCATGGTGCAGGTTTCTCTCTCCCGCACGGCCCAGGGCATCAGCAATGAGGCTGCAGGGGCTGCGCCTGTGGCCTCATCTGGCTTCCGCTGCCTCTGCATCCGCAGATGGAAGGGGGCCCACCCAGAGGGAGCTGGGCCTTGCTGCCGGGGAAGGCAACTCGCCAGGTGCTGCAAGGAGGCCTGGTTAAGGCAGTCTCTAGCTGGACGGTCCTGTGCCCTTTCAAGGTAGGGAAATGGCTACTGGGCCAACCGGCAGCACCTGCTTTTCTGGCTCCTGGGTGTTCTTGTAGCTGGTTTACTAGGACACTTATCCAGGCAGAGGTGCCCCGGTCCCGCCACTGGTGTGCAGGGAGCAGCCGTGGGCCTTGCCAGCGCCCGTGAAGCCTTCCCAAGCGGAGTCCTTCTGCTTCTGCCCAACCAGTGATGCTGTTTCCCCCCAGTCATTCTTCTCTTGCTCAGCGGCTGCTCTCCAAGGCAGGTGAGGCGAGGATGGGCTGACGGGGGCGGCACTTCTACCTGGTTTTCAAGGCTGATTATTTTCAGGCTAGGTCTTATTTGTGGGGAAAGAGGATACCTCTGAGAAAGGAGTCAATCTGCTGGCTAGACACCCTTGCAGGGAACCAAGGAATGGGAACCTAGGACCCTGCCTAGGGGACCCCATTTTCTCTAGTAGTCAAGATGGGAACGCTGACTGCGGAGCTGGCATCGGCAACTGGGAACAGAGGGTGAGAGGGTGGGGCGAGGGACTTGAGCCAGCACCAGGTCCCTGTCCCTCCATCTTGTGCTCACATGTAGAGTGGGGTGAGGTCTTTGCCAGCTGAAGGAAGACGTATAAAACATGGCCTGAGAGCTAAGGGTGTCTTACAACCCGGAATTCAGCAGAGCGGGGCCTCCCTGGAGGACATGCGACAGGAGTCACACAAGGACGGATCAGGGAGCGCGAGGCCTGGGCAGGCAGCGTAAGGCGGTACTTGTGGGGTGACTGGGCTGGTGCTTCATTTAACCCATTACTTCCTAGGAAAGGTCTCTGCGAGCCGAATTCTCCAGCCAAAGGGGCCCTTTAACCTTGCAACTGGGGAACACTAGAAGATACGGAAATAAGACTTCTTGTACTCTACTTTTAAAGACAGTAAACATAATACAGTCTGTTCAGGAAGCATTTTACTGCAGCTCCAAGTTTAAGAATTTTCACCGAGGACAGACAGTCAGCACGTTCAGAGAGTCTCCCGCATCGCCTTGCTCAGCTTCTGAATCTTGCTTTTTGCAGACATGTCCACGTACTTCTCCCCAATACGCACGATCATTCCACCCATGATTGCGGGATCGGTCTAGGAAAGAGAACAGGTGGGAAACGTGAAAATGCGTTGATAACATTTCACTAATCAAACTGATGGATGAAAAAGTGCTCCGAACTGGTTAATGTGGCTCCCAAGTTTAAGACACCGTATCTAGGAAAACAGGTGCGAAACTGCATGAATCAGTCACTTACACAGACAAGTCTAATTTTTCATGAATACCCGCCACGGCCATTTCAGGTTCCAAGTAACCCAAGGAAACACCACAAATCATTAAAAACTCACCTTCGCCTCCAGTTTCAGTACTTGTCCCTGACCCAGGAAGCTCTTCAGGACGGCTGTTAATTCAGTGAGAGCAGCTTGGTCCAAAGGCTGAGAAACAACAAATCATCCATTAAATTTAAATAAAGTCAGAGAAACTTCCATAGTCAAAAAAGGAAGGGGAAAAACTATAGTGGGCGCCTATCACCGAGCAGACCCTGTCTTACATGCCACGGAGCAGCGGACCCTGCCATGCCGCACGGAACCCCTGCAAGCCGGGCCCGGCAGTTCACTGCCTGCCATAAAGCTGTTCCCACGCTGTGTGGAGCAAGAGGAAACCCTGCAGCCAGCAACCCTGCGTGCTGCCGCAGCCCCGTGGTCCCCGTGTGGTGGGTCACTTCCTGGAGGAAACACTGTAGATGACAGTACCCTTCAGTCCCCAGCTCTACTGCTGGGCCCCTGGTCCCTGGCCACCTGCAGCCCTGGCACGCACTGTATCTGGAGCCCCGGGAAGCCCAGGCCTGCAGACCTCCTCCTGGCCCCAACCTCCCTGCTGGGTCAGGTGAAGTGGGGAAGGCGAGAAAGGGCACTGAGGGAAATCCTCCCCGCGCCCTCAGGCAGGAGTTGAAAAGCTGGGGAAAGTGTCTGCTTTGTGAGGTGCTACCCGCCCGTACTGTTTGGGAGTGGAAGCTGCAGTCTATCAGCGGTCCTTCCGGACACCGCTCACACGGCGGGGTCCAGAGCTCATGGTCAGCTCGCAGCCGCCTGAGACGAGGATGCCGCCCCCTGCCCACACGAGCACCTCCCACCTGCCACCTCCCTTGATCCGGACAAGGCAGCGAGGCCGGCGGGCGTCACTCCTGTTTCATCTGCGGAACTCAGAGTCCGAGTGGCGGAAAAACCAGCCAAAAGCACCGCGGCCAGAGGGTCAGCGCCAGCACCGGCAACTGCTCTTGTGTTTCTACAGCCTGTGTTCGCAGTCACTCCCAAAGGGATCGTCTTCCTTTTCAAACGGTGGGCACTTATTTACCTGGGAGTATCAACACTGAAAGCCACAGTAACAGGTGGTCCTGAGCATTCTACGACAGTGAGCGTCCTTCTCAGGTCAGGTCCTCCTACTCACTGTGCGGTGGCCTACGCCAGCGCTCAGCCATGGCCACGGGAGAGGCCCCGAGAGTGCTGAACCCTGGGAACCGGTGCAGCTGCTGGGCTCCCATGACCATCCCTGCTGGGATGATTCTCGGCCAGGCGTGTGTTTTGGGGGCACTATGCAATGAACTCAAACGTGCAAACAGGTATTTATACACTAAAATGCCGCTCTTTGGAACTGCACCATGTTGGAGTCAGAATACCTTTCAAGCACTAGAACTATTAATCCAAATGAGGTAAAGAGCTACAGACTGCAGATAAATCTACCCTGTTCCCCTGAGGTTTAAGCCCCAGGCAGTCTTCCTGTGTTGACTAAACTACTTAGGAAGATGATGATGGTGATGATTTTCGTTCTTGTAGTACTGAGGATTGAACCTAGGGGCGCTCTACCACTGAACCACATCAGCTCTTTTTATGTTTTGAGCTGGGCATGGTAGCAGACACCTGTAATCCCAGCACATGGGAGGCTGAGGCAGGAGGATCGTTGCAAGTTTAAGACCAGCCTGGGTTACAAAGTGAGCTCAAGGCCAGCCTGAACTGCACAGCGAGAACCTGTCTCAAAAAAAAAAAAAAAAAAGTATATATATATATGGGGGGCACGGGAGAGGGAGGGGGGGGAGAGAGAGAGAGAGAGAGAGAGAGAGAGAGAGAGAGAGAGAGAGAGAGAGAGAGAGAGAGAGAGAGAGAGAGAGTTTTCACTATGTTGCCTTGCTTGGCCTTGAATTTACGATCCTCCTGCTTCAGTCTCCTGAGTAGCTGGGATTACAGACATATTCCACCAAACCCAGCAAGAAAACACGTATTTAAGACATCAACAAAATTACTTGGGGGAGATAATCAGCGTAGTTTAAGGAACACAGACTTCTGAGACAGAGGGGTCTGTGTTCAAACCCCGACCCCTCCTTGTGGCACTCTGGGCAAGCTGCTGAAGGCCCCGGGGCTTGTTTCCTCACGTGTAAGCTAAGGACAATGACACTTCCACCTCACGCAGATCGTTCCCTACTCCATCAGACGGCGAATCGCAAAGTGCTGCAGGCCGGTTATCCCGGGCCTCTCCACGAGTCAAAAGCTCACAGGGCCTGTCTACCCGCTCTTCCCACGCAGGAGCCCCACAGACTTAAGGGCCAGAAATGCTACTCTTCTTAAAGTGACATTTAAGAAATAATTGAAACCTATACGGGAACATTAACTACTACTTTAAGCACGTTCTGATGTCCTTTACATTTAACTTAGTCTACAGTGCCTACGGGTAGTCAGAGACACAGCAGTGCGAAGGGGGTGTGCACTGGCCCTTCCCAAGCAAGGTGCACAGAAGTTTAGCTAAGGATGAAAGAAATTCTAAGTGACAGTCGACAAATCACCAGCCCACTTCCTTGACTTTACCATCTGTCAGGGCAAGTGCGGCGGTGAGAGCCAAAGCCGCTACTTACGGATGCCGTGGTCACCGTGCAAGGAACTTCTCCGCGGTGCACACTCATGATGGTGGAAAAGGCAGAAATGACTCCCTGGGTATTTTCTAGGCGACCGTTTTCAGCTAGCAAATCTAAGGAAGTGAAGGTGTCACAAAGACGTGAAACCACTGAACAGGTTATGCATCAACTATACATTCACTTTAAAAGCAACCTTTGATTTGTAGCTTAAAACGCCGTATTCAATGTCCTCCAAGAATGGGAAGAATCTAATTTATTTTACAGTGTATCTGCTACCTTCTTTTTAAAGACAGTCCTCACAAGCATTTAAATTAGCAAGTCTGTGCGTGTGTTGGGGGAGCTGCCCCCATCAGATCTACAACAGGCTCCTAGCACTCAGTGTGCAATCTCATGTTCGTATTTACGCTACACATGCCAATGCGTGGCTACCAATTCCCAAACTGACACGCTGTCTGTATCCAGAGATGACGACATGAACACGCTTCGCAACTTGTATTTGAACTTGGCCAGTAAGAAATGAAAAGCAACCCAAATGCACCAAAGGATGCAGCTGTCTTTAAGGTCTGAGCTGCAGCCACTGGTCCCACGCTGTTTTCTTGGTGTGAATCCCACTGGTAACTTGTGCGGCTGCAATTACAGCCTGTGGGATCAGACAGCCTTCCACCTCCGCACCCTGCGGGCTGTGCCCCGGGAACCCGAATGTGCAAACAACTGCTCGGGAAGCTGGCTAGGATGCAGTTCCCGACTTGGCAGGCTGGGCCGAGGTTGAGTCTGCCCAGAGGCTCCTGGTGACGCTGATGTTTCTCGCCATGGAGCACATTTCCAGTAGCAAAGTTTTAAAAATTCAAATGAAAAGGTTCCAATACTTACTCATCAAGTTGGACGTGAGTGGGGAGAACCTCTCTTTTGTGGTGATGTCATTCAGGCTTTTCACTTTAATGGAACGCTTAACGTAGGGATTCAGGACAGACAGGGCCACCTTGGGGTCCTTCAGGAGTTTCTAAAAGTACCAAAAAACCCAAGAATTTAATTCTTTATACCATAAATGACCCCACCTGCCATACACATACACTTTTTGTAGATTAAGAAAAACAGCATTCTCAAACATGTAAGAGAAGTTCACAACCAAATACGTTTCTCTGACTTCAGGAAAACACCGTACTCTGACTTTCCATGGGACACAATGACGTTGAAAACAAATCAAAACACCTCACTGATTTTCTTAGGAGCGAGTGTGTGTGTGTGTGTGAGTGTGTGTGTGTGTGTGAACACTGCAGATGGAACCTGGGGCTCTGGGCGTGCTGAGGACGTTCTCTACTATAAGCTGTAACTCAAGCCTTTTAAACTGTATTTTTGCTTTGCTTTTCAGGAAAGACTGTAAAAATTAAGCAGCCCAAAGCTCCACTTCACCAGGAAATCTAACATATGCAAAGAGTAAGACTCCAGCTTTCCCTTGCCGTCCTCCAAGTGCAGACCTTACACGGTTCTCTCACTGCGGAGCAGGCCTCGTCACCCTGGGCCGGCAGCGATTTGCCCGGCTTCTTGCAGAGCTCAGAAGGCCGAGCAACTTGTAAGAGGCCTCTGCAGTTCCCACAGCAGCCTCCATGAGTCTGGGAGGCAGCGTGGACAGAAAAACAAGAGTTCAATGACGGTGGGAGACCACTTTGTTCCCGCTTTAATCACAAAGATCTGAATTCAGCAACCACGTGCGACTTCGGCACCCGCCGCTCTCAGCGCCAGGCCAGAGGTCCAGGGAAGCAACAGCAGCTCTTCCCATCGGGCGTCTTTCCCTTGGACATTTCTGTCTTTCAGTCACTCTGCTAGCACCTCTGCCCGCAGTTCCGTCTCTGACCCGGACTGCTTGTCATACACTGCCATTCATGGCTCAGATTTCCTCCTGAATGGCCCTGAGAGATGGCACTTCCCAGAAACACTGCAGGCTTACGCACATGAAAACCACTTTGGAAACTGGGCTACCCATTTTTCACGTTTCTTATCAGTTTCTGCTTCATTGTCCAGTGGACACTTGGTGTAAAACCTTCTGAGTGCTCCCGAAATGCTAATTTTCATTTATAGAGTCTTACAGTAATCGCCTTGCTTTTCGTGAATGGCTTCCAGGTTTTAGATGAAATCACTGTGATGTCCATGACTTGGGCCCTTCTCTTATTTGTGAATGCGACTGTGGGGTCTAAAATGGGCGTAACTGACAAGGAGCAGACAAAAACCACCCCCTCCAAAGAGGCCCGCATGAGATCCTGCATGTTCCTGGCCGCTACCTCCTTCCCAGGCTAACTGTCCCCAACAGGAAGGCGGGGCCTATTCTGTTCGCTCTGCAGATCCTAAGGGCTTATCACTCCAGCTAGGACCTCAGGCCTTATCTGCAGACCCCTGGGTAAGAGGGCGGACAGAACTAACATTACTCTCTGTTAGGACCAAAGTTCCAACAAAAGCTCAGAGTAAAAAGTGAACAAAACAAGTCACAGAATAAGGAAGCATACTCATTAGTAGAATGTCTGTACAGCTAGCCTGTGAGATTGCCTTCTCCCAAGCAATAGAAATTTAAAAATCTCAGCAATATGTCGGTTAGAAAATGTAAGATAACACAGACAATAAAAACAGACGTTTTCTCCAGAGAAACCACTACTAGACTGCCTCCCCACCTCGCTCTGACCCAGACCTTACTGCCAGGGGTGGGGCCTGGAGGCTGAGAAACGAGAGGGGAGGTGACCAAATACAGAAACTTCTCAACTAGAAAATTCACCAAAAATTAAGGCAGACATTTTTACAGTTACATTATGGGTTTCTGTTAATTCAGTGTATTTACTTTTTTTTTTTTTAAAGTAAACTCTCTGGTGGCCTCAGGGTCTTTCTTTGTGGTTCTCTGCCTCTTCAGGAAGCCCGCAGCCTCCGCTAACCCCACCCCGTACCCTCTGCTCAGGCACCTGGCCCTCATGCTTTGGAAGCGAAGTAATAATTCAAAACTAGGAAAAGGCTTCGTACAGAAAAATTCTGTCAAATGAGGTCCAAACATACAGAAAAGACTAGGTGAAAATACCCAGTCCGTAAGCATAGATTCTTAAAGGTGACATTTTCATTCTCTTCTAAAATGGGAATTTTTTCCTTAAATTGCTTTCTGGAACACTGACTGACTTAGTACTTGTACCTTTTCTTAACTGGAAATCCTGGTTTCTAACATTAGTATCCTTACATGTGTCTGCCTGTTCCTGTTAGTTTCAGAATAATAAAACTCTGTATTATTACTAACAACATTTTAACAGAAAAGTTTGTTTCTGGCAGTTCTTTTTTCACAGGCTGTATCTCACTGGCCATGCACAAATAATCCGAGGCGTAACTACACACACAGGAGTTTAACATGCAAGGAGCGAGGAAGCTACTTACTGCCACTCTCAGCAGCTCCTTTTCCACTTGATCCAGTTTATTCTGCTTAGACGCAGCGGAGTAGAGCGCGGTGGCATAGCGACCTTCAATGCCGTGTACCTGAACGGGCGGCTTTACACCACAAAGGTGGGGTGAGGAGAAAGGACAATTAGGTAAAAAGATGATATTGTACCATGGAGAGCAGAATTAAACATTTATAATTTAAAAAGTACGTCTCACACTGGGCTTGGGAGCAAATGCCTGTAACTGCAGCTACTGGGGACAAGGAAGCAGGAGGATCGTGAGTTACGACGGATTAAAGAGCGGTCTCAAACACATCGGGGATGTTTCCTCAGCCAGGTCCATGTATCTGTGAGCCTTCAATTCCTCACTTGTGAAATGAGGGGCTGACGTTAGTGATCTGTCAGCCAAAACGACATTGAGATTCCATTTCACCCAATCAGAATGGCAAGGATACAAAAAACAGGGAGTGGGGTATGGCTCATAGGCGGAGCACTTGATTGCAAAAAACGATTGCTGGCGAAGACTGGGGTAAGCGGAGGAACCTCGTAGGTGCTGGCGGTACTACCATCACGGAAGTCGCTATGAAGAGTCCTCCAAAAAGTAAAACTAGAGGTATTACTTCATCCAGCTATACAGTTCCTCGGGATGCTCTGGACAGAACTAACTAAAGCACATCGCAGCGGCACGCGCGCATCTATGTTTACAGCAGCACAATTCATAAGCGCTAAGCTTGGAAACAGCCTAGATGTCCTCCAACAGACGAATGGACAAAGAAAATGCAGTTTTTATCGCAATGGAATACGCTTCAGTCATAAGGAACAAAATCCTATCACTTGCAGGAAAGTGGATAGAACTCAAGACCACCGCGTTCAGTGAAGTAAGTCAGACTCAGAAAGTTCAACAGCGCATGTTTTCTCTCAGGTTAGAAATCTAAGAAATGAAGGACAGTGGGCAGAAAACGAGAGGGGAGACTTTGAGATGGGGAAGGGGCAGCAGATGAGGGGGAGGAAGGGCGAGGGAGACAACGAGGTTGAAAATAATCAAAGTAAGTTATATGCTTGTCCTAACGCACCCACCAGACCCCACTGTTCCGTGTTCCTTACATGCACTAATGACACTGATTGGCTGACGGTACTGAAGTCCCTCCCACCTCTACCGACCTGCAATTCAATTACTTTAGGATGAGCTTATGTTTCCCTTGCACTCAGCAACTATCCAGTTCCAAGTACGGAAGGTTTCTAATACTGATACGAACATGTGTTCACCCGTTTCACAGAAATACCACAAATTTCCCCTTATGGAGACTTTCCAACAATGTTCAACATAACAGAGCCTGTTAGCACTTCACGAAGTGCCGAGGCTTGAAGTACTTTGCACAATAAACCTTCGGCGCACAGCTACACTTACTCTGTGGTACCCTAGGGTTCAGTGGGGAAGCTTAGACTCTGAACAAGAAAGACTGGCTTCCAACCCAGTTCTAAGACCAAGCTGAGTGATACTGGGCAAAGCTTTGCAGAGCCTCAGTTCCTCCTTTTGTAAAACGGGAAGACCAGTTATTCCCTACCACTGTTAATGGGGTTTTAGGAAGTTCTCACATGAAGGATAAAAATGAGATGGTTCCTCCAAATTTTCAGGTCTGTAACTGGTACGAGGGTTGGGTGTACGAATTTTCTGAATTCACTAAGGTGGTTCACTAAGGACATAGATCTGATACTTCGACCTTTCCTTTACACTATTTTTTCAACCAGGGGATTGGCTCACTGTTGACTCGGGTGCATGTACGGATAGGAGAAAGAGCCTAGTACATCTCTGGACCTGTCAGTGCAGAGAAGCTCCTGACAGCTGGATCGATTTTCTGTCATACAGTAACTAGTAACTACAGGAAGAATTAAAAATAACACAGGGAATGCAGTTGCATCACATTATCAACTGTCAGCTATGCTTCATTTGGAGGGCTTCTGCGTAAACGTCATTCTTACTGTTCTTTTTATGGGGGGTGGGGTGGGGCAAGGCTAGGGTCAACCAGACTACTTCTGGTTTAAAAACAAAGGGACAGCCAGAGATGCAGCTCAGCGGCACAGCACCTACGTGGCAAGCACAAGGTCTTGAGTTCGATTCCTGGTATGAAAAAAACAAAACAAAACGACAGAGAGATCTTTGCAATGGTGACTTTTTGGTATCTAGTGAGTAGTCCTTTTGTCCATGCTGATTTTGTTTGAAAAAAGGGTGTAAAAAGTATGAACATTCCTGCCAGGCACGGTGGAGCATATCTATAATCTCAGCATTTGGGAGGCAGAGGCAGGCAGATTGCAAGCTCAAAGTCAGCCTGGACTACAAAGCAAGACTCTGTCCTTTAAAAAAAAAGTGCAAATATTCCTTTCCTGTGGGGAAAGCAACTTGTAACAGGGAGTACTGCAACCAAATTGCAACAGAACTGAGATATCTTGATTTTCTGCAATAACTTGCCATGCAAACCTGGGCATTTATTCTGCTGGACCTATTTGTTTTGTTAATAAAAAAAATGCTAGCTTGCCCATTTTGGAGGGTTAAGGGGAAAAACAAGCAATTAAAAAGCAGTTCCCGGGGCTGGGTATTTAGCTCAGCGGCACAGCGCCTGCCTGCCAAGTGCAAGGTTGTGAGTTCGATTCCTGGTACCGGAAACAAAACAAAACAAAAACCAAGAAAGCAGTTCCCAAATTTAAAAGTTATGCATGAGCTCAATGCACATTAAACACTCAACATTATTCCTTTCCCACCAAATTCTGGGCACCACAAATCGTGCTAGAAAGGTTTAGGTGGTAACTACACACAAGTAGATGGACTCACACACTCTCATCTGCTTTATAATTTCAAAACAAATATAAATTAACATACCCTCACAAGCTTGGCAAATGGCCTGACCACAGATGTACTGAAGCATCGCACCTTCAAAACAAAGGAAAATAGATGAAACAAGGTTACTGAGCGGTTTCTGCATTTAATGCAGTATTCAAATTTTTTTTTTAAAAAAAGACTTTTAAATGATTAATTTCATGTATTTCTTTATATTACCATACAAGTCACACGAGTTTGAGCCGCTCTTTATTACCTAGAAATAAATTTCCCTGAGAATCATCCCAAATTGCTTAGGAAACTGCCTTCCCACTAACTTTTTAGCTTGCTGGGAATGGGCTGAGGCTAGCACACCCATATGGAAGAGAAAATACTAACTTCCAGAGAGTGGATGTTTAAAAAAAAAAAAGTAACAAGACTCTGGCATTTATCACTTCTATTACTACATCCTTGGGCAGGATTTTAATTAAATGGGATGACTCTAGCAACGATTTGCAAAAGAGATGCTACTTAGGAATCCAAACGCTACCTGAGTTAAAGATTAATTTTTTGAGCTTGGACACAAACGCGTCTGACATGCTAACAGGCCCCAGCACTTAGGGTTGTCTACAAACTATCAGAGAACAGAGCTGGAATCCATAGCTTAGAAAGCCCCTGCAAGGGCACTGGTCACCTTCATACACTTCCCGCTCTGGAATGTACTACACCAGAGCTGGCTGTGCGGATTGAACGACTGGTTCTTGCGGAAAAAGTATGCAATGACATGAACAGCATCATGGTGGATGTAATAACAGCACAGACTTTTTTTTTTTTTTCCAACTCCCTCTCCCGGGCGGAATCTATGGGTTCCGAAGTCAACACTACGGCTTACTGGCTGAACAATCAACGACCGGTCACTGAAGCTTCTGTCTCTTTTATATAAACAGGAAACGTGACTTAGAAATATTCCTGAGGATTTCTAGCGGCGTCTGACAGATCTTGTGGCCAAGGAAACTGACTTGGGACTGAGCAGAGTTCCTTCTTCAGAGACCAAGGAAGCCCAGCCCCCCTCTCCCGCGCCCCTGCAGCCAGGCGCCTCGCGGGACGGCGCCAAGGACGCCACGGTCGCTGCACGCGCAGCCCGCGGGCGTCCTGCGGGGCAAAAGCAGGGCAGCCGCAGGCGACCCCACTTGCGCGGTCCCATGACCTCAGACGACAGCAACGATCCCCCCAGCCGTGGCGTCGCACCCTGACGCTCGGGGTGTAGAATTGGTCACCCCAGAGGGCAAAATCCTCCCGCTGGCTTCTCTAACCTGCCGGTACAGCCCAGACACTCCTGGGGTGGCCATCTTCTCCCGGGCGGCTGTAGGTCAAACCAGGTGGGAAGCCGGAGCGGTGTTAGAGCGCACGCGCGCGTCAGCGTGACCGCAATACCCTCTGGGAAATGTAGGCGTAGCTCTCCATAGCGCATACGCAATGATCTCGCATACTCTGGGAGTTGTAGTCTTTAGAAGGGGCAGTCGGGGCTGGCAGGTGTGCATTAAACTTGCAAATAAATTGCGTAAGTTCCCTTATTATAGAATGGATTTACTGCCCTTAGCTTTAAAAATCTACATTTAGGTAAGCGCAGTGGCAATTTTCCATTTCACATTCATTATTAGCATCTTTACCCCTTCTCCGTATTAAGCCAAAGCGTGCGTGGGTGCTACCCCTTAAGCTGCAGAAACAAAACAGAAACAGGACTTGCCGTGCGCAGGCAAACACCACATCTCGCTTGCCTGGGCCGTGACTGCTCCTCTCTACCCTACCTCTCTTCCTCCTCGTCTGTTTGTTTGCGAGGGTTTGTGAAGTTCTGGTGCTGAGACGCTTGGTTCTGTGTGGAGCAGAGCTGGACCTGAAGCTGGAGAACCTAGGTGAAGTTAACCAAACGTGGCATAACGTTAGAACCTGACACTCGCTTTGGCTAGTTTGTCTGCATTCATAAGAACAATTTATTTTCAGCCCATTCCCTATCAGTGGAGCATGCTATAATAGAGCGAGGTTCAGAGCTCCTAGTCGTAATGATGGTTCTGTGATCAATTTAAAAGAAAACATTTCTGCTCAAATCTAGTGTAGGAACATAGATTAGTTCATTATTTTTTAGGGCACATTTTTTTAATGGAGAAAAGTAGAGGGAATCTAATTGCCTTCTTTTCTACTACTCAGAGGCAGCTTTGTCAATATTTTGGTAATGTTTCCCAACATATTTTTAGGCGGTAGATTGTCCAGGCTTGAATCTCAGTCATTTGTGTGACCTTGGCTTAATCACACAGCTTCTCTGTACTGCAGTTTTCTTATCTATTATTATTATTATTAATTAAATTTCTTTTTTTTTTTTGAGACAGGGTCTTGCTATGCAGTTCAAGCTGACCTTGAGCTCACTTTGTAGCCCAGGCTGGCCTTGAACTTGCAACAGTCCTCCTGCCTCAGCTTCCCCAGTGCTGGGATTACAGGCATGCACCACCACACCTAGCAGTTTTCTTATGTATAAAATGAGTGTTTTATTGGTATCTACTTTATAGGTTAAAGAAAATCAAGTTAATATATATGGAGTCAAGTGTGATGACATACACCTATAATCCCAGGACTCTGGGAGGCTGAGGCAGGAGGATCAAAAGTTTGAGCTCAGCCTGGACAACTTAGCAATTTAGTGAGACCCTGTCTCAAAAAATAAATATAATTAATTAATTAATTAATTAATGGGCTGGGGATGTAGCTCAGTGCAAAGGCCCTAAATTCAATCCCCAATTGTAACTTAAAATAATCACCTGACAAAGTAGTAGTCAATAATACTAGTTCCGGGGCTGGGGATTTAGCTCAGCGGCAAAAGCGCCTGCCTGGCAAGCGCAAGGTCGTGAGTTTGGTTCCCGGTACCGGAGAAAAACCAAAAAATAAAAAATAAAATAAAAATAATACTAGTCCCTTATTTCGTGTTTGTTTTTATTGTGCATAAAGATTCACAATGTACATATAAAATTACATGTAGATTGTGAATACATTCTTAAATGTAATGTAAACATGCTTCCAAGTGGTAACATTTTCATAAATATAATTTTTTTTTGAGACAGGGTCTTAATCTGTAGCCCAGGCTGGCCTCAGACTCGTGGTGATCCTTCTACCTCAGCCTCCTGTGTGCACCACTACACCTGACATATGAATATAATTTTAATGGCTGAAGAACAATCTATCAAATGGATATTCTCTAGCTTAAACATTCCATGATTTCTGACTATAATTTGGGTGGTTTTATAGTTTACATGTGGCCATTTTAAGCACTTCTGTGTCTCCTCAGCATTCTTACAGACACTTTTTTTCTCCTCTTTAGGAGTTTTCAAATAGATTTTCATAGCTGCAGAGTTTGGTAAGAGAGTATGAGCACTTTGAAAGCTTTTTTCTTCTTTTTTTGTAGTACTGGAGATTGAGCCCAGGACCTTCATGCTCAGCTATCATCCCAGCCCTTTTAAATTTAATTTAATTTACTTTATTTTGAGAGAAGATCTCACTAAGTTCCCAGGTGGGACTCAGACGTGGCAGCCTGCCAAAGTATGAGGTTTGCAGGCATGTGCAACCACATCCCACCTAAATACCTTTGATGCACGAGGTCAAAATGCTTTTCAAAAGTTTTAACCAATTCACCCTTTTATTAGCAGTGTATGAAAACCCTTATTTTACTCCATGCTGCAAATTACTTTCAGGAACTATTTTCAAATAAGCTTTATGGAAGATATATTTATTACTTAACCTATGGTACTGAGCCGCAATTATGTACCAGCAGCTGTTCTGTGCCCTGAAGGTACGGGAGGCTGTGTGACAGATAAAGTGCTGGCCTCCTTAGGCCTTACATTCTGTGTGAAACCAAGCCATAAAACTCATGCTCCCTGAAGTGTGGGTATTAATAGATGTAATACAAATCAAAAGCTCTGGGGTCAGTTACACCTGAGAAATTCTAACCTCTCTATTGCATTGATAATTAATTATAAGTAAACTATAAAGTTGCATTGCAATGGAAAGGTACCCTCTGTTTATTTTGTTTATCTCATGCCCCTTGCGTATCTCCAGAATTCCTTAAATGTGAATTTAAAGTTTATAAAGTGTTTCACATACATGATTTCATTTGCATTTTGAGTGTTAGTGTCTTGGTTACTTTTCTCTCTTTGCTGAGACAAAATACCTGATGCCAAAAATTAAGGAAGGAAAGGTTTATTTAGCTCACAGTTTATGGAGGTTTCAGTCCATACTTGGCTGGCTCCAAGGCAGAGTGGCACATGGCAGAGGGCAACAGCTCATGGCCTCGGGAAAACAGCAAAACAATAAGAGCAAAAAGGGAGGAGCTGTGGCAAGCAGCCTCTTTCCCTCCCTTATACTGTACACAAGCTACCCGCCCCAGGGTGGGTGTAGCACTCACACCCCTAATCCCAGCACTGGACCATGAATCTATCAAAAACTAGAAGCTCACCCCATGACTGCATGAGGCTTTGGGGGGACATCCAGACACAAACCATAACAGTCAGGATAGCTGTAAGATATAGGTAGGCCTGGTATCCATATGTATTTGGTATATACATATTTTTAAAACAGGGTCCCACTCTGTATTCAGGCTGGCCTTGAACTTACTGTGTAGTCCAAGCTGGCCTTGAGCTCCCCAGCCATCCTCCTGCCTCAGCCTCCCAAGTGCTAGAATTACTGGTGTGTGCCACCGCACCTGGTTCTCCCATATTTCATAGATTGTGAAATGCCATGATTCCTGTTTATGAGGCTTAGCTAGGGGACGACAGTTTGGTTGTCAAAGCCAGGCACCTGCTCTGGGCCCAGTCTCTTTCTACAGTGCTGGTTTGATGAATGAGTGAATCCTTCGAGATGTATTCCTGGGCACGGGACTTCAATGCCAGTGTATTTTGCTGACATGGACTAAAGGAGAAACACAGAGTCCTGAAGGCTGACGCCTTCCTTCTGCCTGCTCTTGGTTCTCTGATCCCCTCCCCACTCTTGCTGTAGGAAACCACTGCGAAAGGTGGGCTGAGGACCATTGTGCACACTCTCGGGAAAGGAGCTGCGCAGCTGCTGTCGCTTCTGCTGTGCACGGACAGAGCTGGAAAAAAACCCAGAATTTTGTCCCACAGAAGAAGGTAAGCAGCTTAGCTCTCTGCTGTTACCGCGCTTTCCCCGAATGCAAACTCAAACTGTTTAAAAACGAGTTGCTTTAACAGCTGCGGCCAATGGAGTGAAAGGGACATTGTCAAGGCCGCAGCGCAGGGTTACACGGCGAGCAGACCCGGACGGCTAATCTCGCCTCTTTGTTTCATGCTGACCTTCAATTCAGAGCCAGTGTTGCTCTCTGCCTTCTCTGTAAGGCACCACAGACCAGCACAGAAACCATAGGAGACCCTCAGCTACACGTGTTTTAAAAGTGACACCACTTTTCCTTTAATCCAGCAAGAACTCCTCCCAAACAACCCTAGTCAGGAATCTGGATGAAGGTAAACATGCCCAAATGTTCACTGCGTTCTCTTTAAAAGAGAGGGAGAAAAAAGGGAACACATGTCTAAGCACAAGGAAATGGCTTTGCAAGTGGCATAGTATGCAGCCATTAAGATGTGATCACCAAAAAGTATTTCATGCCATGAAAAAATATTTAATGACACGAGGAAAAAAATTTATAAACCATATTGTCCATTTTTCTACAATGAGTGTGTGTCATTCAGTAGTATAGTCAGAAAAGAAGGAAAAGGATGATGTGATCCTGTCTCTGGTTAATTGCTGTACCCGGATAGCGTAGACACATCTACTCTCATTCTTTTAACACTCAGCTTCTGACACAAAACTGATTGCTTCAAGTTGATGAGCTCTGCTCTTCAAGAAGCTGGACCAACAAAGTTCCTTCCTTTCAAAGATTAATGTCTGTATAGATACCACCAGCCCCGGGGCAGTTCTCTTTACCTTTTCATAATTCATAGTAAGAATTACATCTGTTTAGGACAAAGGAGGATAATGAGGTTTTTCTCTACACATTTTGTTACACTGACAGAACCTGGGAAATGTGTGCGTTATTCTCATATTTATCTTGGAGTCAGTTGTTCTCCAGTTTTCTGTTTTGTTAAGAACTGTGCACGAATCCATTATTTAGCAGACCAGAGCCACTTTCTGTCTTCAGCTCGCAGACTGATAGCCCTGATTTAGAGCAGTTCTTTTCACAGGTAACTTTATCTCTCTGTTTAAAGCCCAAGAAGGGGAAAATGACCCTGCTGGCTCTCAGTAGGATCTGTGGCATTTCCCTGTCCCCACCCGCTGTCTTTCAAAGGCGACAGTGCAGAACTGAGCAGGCTTTGAACCAGATGCAACAGTGAGGAACGCTGGCGATGGGGTTGTAGGTACTAAGGTCACAATGTTTTAACTGCTTGTCTTTAAGATCTCATGCATCTGCCAAGAGAAAGTGAGCAAAAAAACATGAAAAAGGGGCTTCCTCTCCACCCCGTCCTTGGAGAAAGCTGCATTGGAAGACCTGCAGCACAGGCCTCACGGGTCTGCAAGGCGACAGGAGGACCCTGAGCTGCAGGAAGTGTTTACCCGGCCCATAGCACAGGCCTCTTCCCAGCTCTTCGCCTGCAAGCCCGGGGCCACCTTGAAGGCACTACCTGGTCTGTGCTCAAGGTCACGGAGCTCAGCTCGGTGCAGGCGCCTGTGGCATCGTCTCGGCGCTAGGGGGCGCCGTGTCCCCACCTTGCGAGCGCCTCGCGTCGGGATCAATTTCTTTCTAGAGCTTTCCTCGTTCACGCTGCGGGAGGGTATGGGGCGCACATTTGCAAAGACGAATCCGGAGCATTGTGAGATCCACAAACAAAAGGCATCACTCAAAGGTGCTGCAATCAGGTTCGTGGAGTTTTGGGAACCAGACAGCTCTGGTGTCCCCCACCCCCAAGCCCTCAACCCGCGGTGTCACAGCCCCCTGGACTGCAGCCAGCCCTAGAAACCAGCGTTCTGAGGCTGTGTGCGCTCCGCAGCGCCCCCCGGCACCCCCCCCCCCATCTCCCTGCAGCCACCCAGGTTATGCTCTGCTGGCAGCACAGAAAAACCCCGCTGGGCTGCAACAGGTCTATGACTCAGTTATCAAAGCCCTCGCTCTGCTTGGGGTTTGGGGAAATTTCCGCAGTCAGGTGGGTGCTGCATGCCGCAAGGCGTCGTGACAAAAGGAACCAACGTAAGAGCAGAAGCAGAACACGCTTCTGCTCATTGATTTGAATCAGAATGCGGGTCGTCAATGGAGATGCGCGTGACTGTAGTAAGTGGTGCCGTTCTGATGAAGTGTCCGTTGTGTTTCAATCTATTTGGTGCCCTGCTTGGGGACCTGAGGCTTGGGGAGACCTCTGTCACGGCAGCATGAGGCTCTGCAGCCCCCACTCCCTGCCCCTCACCAGCTGTGTGTATTGAGCAAGTCAGCCTAATTTCTGTGCCTCAGTTTCTACACAGGGAGAATGAAGACAGCGCTCCGCTCTCAGAAAGTACAGCAGCATGAAAGCGGGCACACGGTCACTGTAAACACCAGCCCCGTTTTGGAGGAGACCCGTGATAGCTGACCATAGCTAGATGGGTAAGAAGTAGGTTGTCCACATCTGAGAATTTCCAAGAGAGGGACGGGGTGGTTTTGGAACAGTCAGCAGTCAGGACATATTGGTGAGCAAGCAGGCGTTAAATACCTTTTACTTAAAAAAAAAAAAGAAGTATTTCTATTTGGTAACCAAACAAAAGGTGAGAACCAGCAAGGCTTGGTAAGAGTTCACCGTGTAAAAGGAAAGTATATGGTTAAAAAAAGGAGATTGCATGATTTTCTACAGAAGAATTTAGCTGTAGGAAAAGTGAAAGTAAAAGCAAGGTGAGGAACACAGACACTTGGGGAAATCTCCCAGACAGTGTGTGCCGATTTTGAAATGTCCCAGCGTAGTGATAGCGCCTTCCTGGACTCCCTGGCCCCCTCAAGCAATTGTGGACCAGACTTGGTAGCGCAGCAGTCATTTTATTTCTCTCGGTAAAGAGGCACACACAGAGGAGGGCTTGCTTTGAGACTCCTGGGAAATGAGGCTGGAGCCCTGTTTGGGGTGACACGGTTCAGGACAGGGTGTTGGAGAAAGAGAGGCAGGAGTGTCCGGTCACAGCTGACCCCGCGGAGCCCAGAGGTGGGGGACAGCACGGGAGGGGTGCCTGGGGAAGAAAAAGGCTCTTTCCATCCCAGCGTTTGACGGCAGCACAGTTTCTGTAGCACATGAATCAGTGTGACCTTGCCGATGGCCTGCAACCCGAAAGTGTAAAGAATGTCCCTGCTTTTCATTCTGCCGAGCACCTCCTGCGGGGAGACTGGGCTGATAACGTATTTCTGTGGGTTTTGATTCTGCAGACAGAATTGCAGGGCTGGATAAAAGCACTGCCTATTTTGAGTTTTTAAGAAATGACAGGGCTATTGTGGGGGTGGTCTTTGGAAACCAAGGGCAAGTCTGCAAAACAGAGTAATTCAGGTTATTTATTTATGTTGTATGGCTTCAGATGGGGCAGGGGGCCGTTCCCTAATCCAGTCCTTCGCTCCTTCTTGCAGGCATGAATGTCCAGCAAGCATTTGCTATCTGTTCATTGTCACGATAGATGCCGCCGGCGACAGGAAGGCAACCAAGACTGACCTGCCTTCAGGGAGCTGCTGTGACTCCCTTTGAATCAGTTTCACTTGTTTTGTTTTGTGAGACAGGGTTTCGCTCTGTATTCCAAGCTGGCCTCAACTCAGTGATCTTGCCTCAGCCTTGAGTGCTGGGATTATAGGCATGCACCACCACGCCCAACTAGATCAGTTTAACTTTAAAAAACCACCTTTCCTTTTTTCTGTATTCAAGAAGAAACATGTATGGGCATCAGACCAACATCAAACTGAATTGCACATCATTTTATAAGCTCTGGGTTTTCTCAAAAATGTCTTTAAATTTGCAGGAATTCCTTCTACACCTGAGCTCCAAACAGATTGCAGCTCCTGTCATACCTTGGCAACTAATAGAAGCAATGAGAGAGAAATGGTAAAAATAAATCATTCCAGCCCGGAGAGCATCTCCATATGGTTCTCAAAGTGGTTGTTCGTCAGAAAGTTGATGAAAGTTGGTACTAGCTCACCATCACTGGACCAAATCCGTCCCCTTGTGACAATGACATTCCTCTTGTGATCTGTGAAAGTGTCGCTCACCCTGGAATCAGTGGTGTCTTTGTAACCCCGATTTGCAAATGTTCTCGGGGCCTGGATGGTTTTCTGATTTGTCCTCTAACTCCAAAGATTGCCTGAGAATATTCTAGAAGTAGTTGTTTGTGGTAGTCATCATTTCTGTCTACTGACTGAAATAGGGTGCTGCCATTTAAGATTATGCTGAGGAAAAATTTGTTGACTTGAGAAAGTATTCATAGTACACTATTAAGTTAAAAAAATAAAGCAGACTCAGCAAAGCTTTCAGTGTATCATATGATGCTGTTTTTGTTAAATAACCAGCTACTTATAGGCATCATACAAAGGCCAGAAGGAGTGTCGCAAACCATTACTGTGGTGGTTTGTTTGTCTTTTCCGTGGTGCTTTTCTGCATTTTCTAAGTTTTAAGTGTCGATCTCATATTGCTTTAGTACTGAGGAAAATTTCTCTCAGTGAATGTTAATAGGGTGCCCTTCCGAAAAACAGGAAGAGGAGCAAAGACGTGAGATACGTGTGGTTATTTCATTCACTTATTTCTTCACTTGTGATTTTTATTCTGCCTTCAAAATTTTGCCATATTTGTTTCTTGATTGAGTGATTGATGGTAGGAATTAGACCCACAGCCTTCCCATAACCCCAGCCTCCCTTTTTCATTATTTTTTATTTTGAAGCAGGGTCTTGCTAAGTTGCTCAGCCACTCAGAGTGCTGGGATTCCAGGTGGGTGCCACCACACCCAGTTTATTCAGTCTTTTTTTTTTTTCCTGTTTGTTAGGAAACAAGTGTGTTTAGCACTTATAATGTGCTCAGCACGGACAGTTTCAGGCGCTGGGCCGCAGAGTATGTTTGCTCGAATCCAGTACCTTGGTTCTTACCAAGCTCAGCTTAGGAGGGCGCCGGAGCCCACGGAAACGCAGAGTCACTCGCTAGCGGCTCTGCAGGGGTGCTCCTGCGTGGGGCCTGGCGATGTCCTGGTTTAAAGGTGGGCCTGGGGGATTCTGACAAATTACCAGGCACCTTCCTTTGATACCCTTGGGCATAAATGAAGTAGAGCCTTTGACACATGGTGGGATATGAAGACCCGACTTGTTGGCTCCACCATGGAATCCCACTCAAGTACCCCAGAGTGTCCCCCGACCCTTGCTGCTTAGCCACACTGTCTTACTTTAGAATGTCTAAGAGGGAAGATAATCAAAATATACGTAGCCCCTTTGGAGACTGAGAGGTGTGGCAAGCCCTTCCTTCCGTAAGCCAGTCCAAAGCAACAGCACAGGAGCTGATCGTCATTCCAGCAGCAGCCACTACTACTCAGCTTCCGCCAGCCACTTTCGAGCCACCTGCCCTTTTCATCCTCTGCACCTTACAGGTTGATTCTACATAGAATCATCCTATGTTACTGACGAGGAAACTGAGGTTCAGAGAGGCTAGTGAGCATGCCAAGATTACACGTGCCGGTTAGTTTGTCCCCAAAGACCCTGGGTTCCACTACTGCACTATCCCCAGTGGCCAGTGCCACCTCTGGCTGTAGGCTGGCTCAGAGCTCCAGAGTAGGGACCGGTGCCAGGCAGCTGGCTACCCGCTGTCTGTTTTCTGGTGTGAAATTATTACTTAACCTTAACCTTCTAGAACTATGCCCTTCATGGTCCCGGCTAGCGCAGATGTAGAGGCACTTGGTAGAAGGTGTAAAACAGCCGGCAGCGAGTTTCCACAGCCCCTTGGAAGTGGGCAGTGTTCTCCCGAATTACACATTCCTGGGCAGAGGAGTATGGAGCTCCCCCTCGAGCGGTGCGCTGGGGATGTGGTGAGGCCCGGGGCCTGCGGCTGCGCCTTTGCTGTGGGGACAGGGGGGCCCTTTGGGTATTGACAACATCACAGAGACATTATTACAGCTTTTGTTTTATTGCAAATCTGTTTTGAAGAAAAACTTCCCTGCTTCTCCATCCCCAGGCAAAATTTGTCACTCTTTTAAATCTACTCGGATGTGCCATTTTTATTTTATTGAGACACAGTTCACATGCCAAAAATTCATGTAACCTTTTCTTTTTATTTATTTATTGGTTGGTTGTTGTTGTGCTAGGGATCACATCTAGGGCCTTATGCGTGCTAGGCAAGTGCCCTACCACTGTGCTATGCCCCCAACTCTGGTGAACCCTTTTAAAGTAGTTTCAGTGGTTTTTCATATATTCACAGAGTTGTGCTATCATCACCATTATTATGTGCTATCATCACCATTATCTAATTCCAAAACGTTTCCATAGCCCAAGAAATTATTTATTTATTTATTTATTTATTTATTTTTTGAGACAGGGTCTTGCTATGCAGTTCAGGCTGGCATTGAGCTCACTTTGTAGCCCAGGCTGGTCTCGAACTCGCGACGATCCTCCTGCCTCAGCCTCCTGAGTGCTGGGATTACAAGCATGCACCACCATGCCTGGCCCTGAAATCTTTGTTGTTGCTGTTGTTGTTTTGTTTTGTTTTGGTTTTGAGACACATTAGTTCAGGGGCCTTGGAACTCGCTATGTAGCCCAAATTGGCCTTGAACTCTTCAGGGATCCTCTTGCCTCAGCCTTCTGAGTGTTGGATTACAGGTGTGTTGGATTACAGGTGTGTACCACCATGCCTGCCAGTAGCCCCAAGGAAATTTTATCCTCATATCCCAGCAAACTCCGGTGATTTAAATGGTTATATCTTTTCTCCTTAATTGTGTTGTGAGACTATGGGACAGGTTACTCTTCCTGGCTCATAGTAAGTATTTAGTAAATGTTTGTTCTTGGTAGTAAAGTTTTCAATTTTAAGACTATTCACCTTTTTTTCTGGCCTTTATGATAGTTTAAAAATTTTAGTAAATGATAAGAAAAAACCATAGAGCTGTTTTCCCCTTCTTTTTTCATTTAGACTCAGAGGTCTCGTATCTGTTGGGTAAATATTTTATTGGCCTTACTTTTAATTCAGTTTGATGTAGGAAAAGACAAGGCCATCTTGAATCTTCTTCTCACACAAACAATGATAGTTCAGTGATCCTTTCCTCTTTCTTTCCTTCTTTCTTTCTTTCTTTCTTTCTTTCTTTCTTTCTTTCTAGCTCATAAAAATACACAGCTTAGACTGTGGGAAAAGGGGAAGTAAAGTTGAACTGTTGATATGCCTGGGTCTGAACTGGTTGTTTACAGAATGAAAAGCAGGTCACTCATAGGCTGGGACGTGGCCTTGGTCACGCCTGGGAATCTACAAACTCAATTCTCTCTCATTGGCAGAACATGAAAGCTAAAGATTATCCTCTAATCCTGTGGCATTTTTAAATCCATGCAATGGGCTTTGTTGCTCAAAAATTTCCACTTAAAGTCACACACTCTTTTGGAGGTACAAATATTTTGGTTAGCCCAGTGGTATCTATGGAAAGACTTACTAGAATGAATGCTATGGTCAGTGCAGATGCAGGCTGGATTGTCCCTCTCCAGGAGCGACACTCTCAAGTCCTACTTCTTTTTAAATTCAAATAGCACATGTGATGTCTTTCTTCTGATAAACAAGAGGATAAGAAGCAATGCACTGTGGGAAAGCGGAAACCACCCTCATGTCCACCAACGGATGAGAGGGCAAACAAAATGTGGCATATCTATACAGCGAAATATTATTAGATCCTAAAAAGGAACATGCTGTCATATGGATGTACCTGGAAAAAAATGAGGCTGAGTAAAAGAAGCCAGACATAAAAGGCCGCAGGTTGTATGATTCCATTTGTTAATTCACAGCAGTAGAAAGCTTAGCGGTTGCTAGGGTTGGAGGGAAGGAAATGGGGAGTGACTATAACGGGTAAGGTGTTTCTTTGTGGGGCGGTGGAAATTTTCTGGAATTAGTTGCACAACTTGGTGGCTACGCATTTCATAGGATGTGAGTTCTGTCTCAGTTGGAAAGAGTAAGAAACCTGCAAAGCTTCCCTGCTAAATATAATAGGAGGAAAGAGTCCTACAGATTTCCATCGCTGTGATGAAATGCTGGAGATAAACAACTTAGAAGGAGGGAATTTTTTTGGGCTCATGGTCTCAATCCACAGCCTCTTGGCCCTGTGGCTGCACGGCGCATCCTGGAAGCAGCACAAGGCAGAGGACGTCTGCTCATTTTGCAGTGACCAGGAAGCTAAGAGCAAGAGAGAAGGCGCAGGGATCCCAATGGCCCTTCAAGGACAGGTCCCCAGTCATCTCCCTTCCTTCTACAGGGCCCCACCTCCTGAAGTTTGCACCACCTCCCAAAATGCACCAGGCTGGCCATCAGGCCTTCGGGAGACAGATCCCAGCCCTCGCCATCCCTGTGTTAAAGATGATTTACAGCTCCCTAAGCAGGGCGTGTGCTGGAGTAAAATCGTCCCTGTTCTCACCATGGTAACACACTAGTCCAGCCTTTGCACTCCTGCCTGGATCATGGAAGTAGATTTTGACAGCTGGAAAAGACCTTAGAGATTCCAGCCCAGCTCTCGGACTTGTCAGGGGAGATAACTAGTCCCAGGCAGTAGAAGTGACATGTTCAGAGTTGCCTTCTCGGTGGCCGAATGGGACCTGAACCGCAGCTTCTTTTTCCATTA